AAAACCAGCCTTTTTGTACCTATTTTACATGCAGTAACATTTTTGTTAAAAAGTTTTATGCACACCAATGTTAAATGAATCATAACACTGAGTGCTCCTATTATTTAATGTGGCTTTCTTTCACATTGGCATAATTCTTTGTTAATGGTCATGCTGGGGATAGATTTTATTTTCTCAGCTTGATTATGAGACTCTCATATCAGGCAATATCAAGAGCTTTAAAAATGAGACTAAGTATTACCTATCACCTGTATTGTCGTTTATCCACCAAGCCAGTTACCACATCAAAGGACAACATTTGCACTGAGAAACGACAGTTTGAGCTCGCAGAATGTTAGTTTCCACCCATGGCTTAAGTGGTATACTTTATTTTGTGCTAGAATCTTTACATTTCAATAAATAACAGAAGCACTTAGGTCTGTCGAATAAAACTTCTCAAGGCACTGCAAAAACTAATACATAATATATGACATTATGCAATGTTCATGAAAACAACAGTTGGTTGCTGTTGTTTTTTCTAATCTGAGTTATCAATTGCAATGTCAACCACCAGATGGGAGCGGAACTTATTAAAGTTGTTAGAGACAATTGCAAAAATTGACATAAACGTGTAAATTATTCTTCCATTCCCTCTGCTTCTGAAATGCTTCTGATAGATTAGATTTTCTATACAGTCATTCTACCATTTATTTGTTCCAGAATATGACAGAGTTTCTTGACAAAACTTATCAACATTTATAAAGATAGTTATGGAAGCTTCAGAATGAATGAGCTTCTTATCCTTTCATATTTGACAATGGTTATTGACAATGTCCAGGAAAATGGTCTTGGATTGAAATTAAGTCACAGAAACCAGAAAGGAAAGATTACCTAGTATACACCATCAATTGTTCTTTCAGATTCGATAGATAGCAGAAGTTATATGAAATTATATTTCTTCTGTAAATTAAGACATGCTTGTATTAGGCTTGCTTGCATTGAATAGAAATATTGGGAGGTAGCAAAATTTACAATGCAAATCCTTTAAAAAGAAATTAAATGACAATATATAACACTGCTTTAAAAGTTCTGAAGAAAGATGGTTTTTGATCACTTCAAACCACAAACTCAACATTCAGAGAAAGATGCATCCATATTTGATTACTATGAATGGAAACATAAGTTTCTTCTGAAAAGTCCCTTGGTTAGTTCTTGTCATTTTAAAAATGTACTACATTGATAAACAAGGTAAGCCATGGTCTTTCAATACACATATTTCTGCTTAATCTTTGGTCCTGCTAATTCTTTTGTTCCTAAAGCTGCAAAAAAGACATACTTGACAGATAAATAAGTCAGCCACATCAGTCAGTCTAAATACACATTAACATTATACTGAAGTCCAAAATGCTTTACAGTTGTCCTGACTTTCCTATCAGGCTTGAATATAAATGTTCCCAATCTCCTTGAAAACTGCAGTCACTATTCATACATTTTATAGTCAAATAGAAAATGTGTGATGCCAGCTACACAGTCAGCTAATCCGCCTCAGGAATTTTGATATGAAGGTTGTAACCTAAGATGATGACTCATCTGAAAAATTATTAGTTCCTGACCCCTTTATCTGATTCAGGGAAGGTGGTTTTGTTTTTGCTACAAGTCAGAATAAGAATCCTAATAAATTCATTAAATTCCACATGTTTTTCCTACTAAGTGCTTAAAGATGAAATTATATGATCTCCATGAGGAAGAATATATTGATTCATTATTAATTACCTTGGAGAATTCTTGGCTAAAATCCATTTGCTTGTGTACTGCATTGATATTGTTAAAAATGTTATTCACTTTGTCCTATACACAGTTTTGGGAAGGAGAGGAGATGATTCTTTAACAAGTAATTATATAGATTTATGTATCTCGGGTCAGGCCTCAAGTGCAGAAAAATGCTTGCCTGTAATCTTAATAGGACAATTGTGCAAGAAAGTATAATTTACTTCAGGATCTTGCTGTCATTCCATGATTTGTTTACAAGTCAAAGAGGAATTCACATATCCTTAGTCTAGTCACATTTCCCTGTATGTTTGTCTGCAAACCTTGAAAATTTGTCCATCTGGATGTTCAGTCCATGTCAAAGATGGAATTTAGAGTATTGCCATTTATATAAGAAATCTTAGCAGCAAAGAAAATCATAAAATGCACAGTTGGGTTAATCAAACCTTGCAAAATATCTCTCCAAGACAGGGTGCAAGGGGAACACTAAATGGGAAATTTGTAGGGTCCTTATTTTAAACACAGTGTGACAGGATGGTAGCATATCAATAGGTAGCAATTAATTGCCTATGCCTGTTCAGTTTACGTCCAAGACAGGGTGCAAGGGGAATAACACTAAATGGGAAATTTGTAGGGTCCTTATTTTAAACACAGTGTGACAGGATGGTAGCATATCAATAAGTAGCAATAAATTGCCTATGCCTGTTCAGTTTACAGTGACTGGTTTTGACTGAACAACTGACATAGTGTAAAAATTCTTTTTCCTTCTGCAAAACTTATCTATTATATGTAGACAAGGAAAATTTTAGCTCAGAAAATCGTAGCTGAGAATCAAAGTGGAATACCATCTCAGTCTGCCATGTCCCAGTCATGCTACAGATTAGCCTCCCTCCCTCCTATTCCAACTGATATATTGCCCTGGCATATTGACAAACTGATCTTTTCTAATGGGAAAACCATTTCAGGAAAGAAAGGAAAAATCTCAATCTCTCCTGATTCACTACTACTCCTACATAATTAAAACATGATTTCCTTTGTTCACTGTCTAGCTTAGTATTTCCTGGACACAAAAATATATTTTTTGCAAAAAAAGACATCTGCTTTAAGATTTTTTCCTGGAGGTGTATGACAGCCCTTCTCTAAACGTATCAGAATTAGTCTTTTCTCAATATCATATTTAATTTTTCAATAATTCCTCAAAACTCTTGAAAAGTCAGTGTACATTAGGTTGAAAAGAAAGGTAAAAAGTGGCTTTTTATTGACAAATGTCACCAGTAAAGATTATATAAGATGTTATTTCATATTGTGTTGTAGTTTTAAACCTTTATATTAATTTTCCATATAATGAATTACCAAATAAAAGGCCAACAGATAATTGTGTTCCTTTACTATGATGAACACTTGAACTAATTAAAAGTAATTCAGCAAATTATCTGAAAACATTTAGTCAAATATAGAGAGAGGTCAAATCTAGGGCAGCATTGTTTAAATCAAATTGAATTCCAGTTTGAGAACGGACTTCAAATAGATTTTTAATTGCAGTATTTTGTCCACAGGGCATTCTATCACACACACTCTTTGTTTTCAAGTAAAGTCCACCAGAATATCCTCCATCAGGGTAATTTTGATTACAAAATTTCTGTATTATGAAGTATGTAAGTATGTTCTAAGGCTTTCATTCTTTGGTCATCTTGCTTATAGTTAATCTCTGCAGCCAAACACTGAGTGCTTCCCCTGACTGATTCATTTCATTAAGCAGAAAAAGAGGAAACCGAAATGTGACACTAGTGCACAGAATGTGCAGGAGAAGGGTGAAACCCTTCATGAAGGGCCCTGTCATTTTATTGCTCTCTGGCAGCTCTGCCTGAGCACAGAGAATGCCAAGATCAGATTTTCTTGGGACTGCCCCAACCACGAGGACATGCAGCTTTGGGCTTCTACTGTGCTTCCAGTTATATGGAAAGCCATGAGTGCTTCCTCTTCTATTCTTCTAGTTCCACTTGGATTTGAACCCCAAAAAGAAATGGAATAGTGAGCTATATTCATTAGGACAACAGAAAAGGGACTGTGTTTTGGTATTTAGATTATGGTAATAATTAAACTGGTTTATTGGCTTGTGAGTTTTTGCACAAAACCTTTGCTGAGTAATAATAACTGAAACAGTACTGTTTTTTTACAAAGAGATGAAACTTTTTCCCTAAAACATTTATTATTTGTTTAAAACTAATGGTAATTGTTTAAAATTAATTATATCTCAAATATTTTATTGTGGGACTAAATTGTTTTCAGATTTATAATTTAAATGTACAGTTCCACATAGGATACCCTTTGCTGCATTAGAAACACTTTTATTAAAGGCTACAAAGAGATATTAATGACCTGGGCATTTATTTTCTGCTCTTCCTAACACAGTTTGCTCAGTGGGAATCATCACAACAGAACATTTTTGCACAAAATTACTCAGCTGCAAATATGCTTTAAACATGTTTATAAAGCATCCTAAAATCACATATTAATGGTCTTATTAAGCAGCTGATATCCGTAAACTCAGTAAAGCCAGAACACACTAAAAAAATAAGTGCAGCCAGTTGCAGATACCAAAACAGGAACACTGCCTGATAGCACACATGAGGACTCTTGTACCTGCCCTGGCTGGACAGGAACTCCCAGAAGAGGCTCCTGCCAGTGTGCAGGTGCTGCATCTCCTCACAGCCAGAACAGGGAGGAGGGGAGCACTTTGAACCACTGGGTTTAGAACTGAGCATGATTCTGGATCTACCAAAACAGTGACACCCAGATCCAGCACAAGGCCCATTCTGGCAAATGGGACAGAAGTTACCATAAGGATGAAGTGATCACGTCATGTAAGCATAGGACACTGGAAACCAACCCCCAAAAAAACAAAAAAGGCAACAAAAAGAACAAAGTATTTCTTGCTCACGCTAGACATTCTATTCAAATATCTACACAAGTCATCTGAATCTGTGACATTCAAAGGGTCTAGATGTGCTACTTTGTAAATATTCGATTTCTAGATCAAAGTTCCATTGCGTAAATGGGATTTTTTCCAAGTTAAATGGAAACTGAAGAGGAATACTAAAAGTGCCTACTAAAATGCATCAGGCCCTTCTGTTGGTGCTAAATTGTGTCATTAAATAAACTTGACACTGAAAACAGCTGTTTTAAATTCATTGCACGATTGTTTTTAAACACAATAAATACCTGTATTTAAAACTTTTTTATTTACTTGACAGACTTGAATCAAAGGAGCCTTTTCTGTCCGTTGGGTAAGTAAGAATATGGATATTTTCATGGATATTTATATATTTAACAGCCATACAATATAATTTATGAGATTATGTTGAGCATAAACATCCTATTTTGACATGATGGTTATTTACTACACTTAAGCTTATAAAATGCAGCTTTTAGTCAATAAAGTCAGCAGCCATGGATATTTTCCTTCTCAAAAGCAAACTAAGTATGTTTTGACTTTATTGACTAAACAAAAATTACACAAAAATACATATAGGAGTTAAATGTTGCATTAAAAGATAGCTGGTTTATTAATTTATTTTCACTGACTTTATTCAGAAACCATTTTAAGTATCATCTATACCACTTGTCTAAACCATGAAAAAGTAATTGATAATGTCCTTTAAAAAATTGTGATACTTCAATAACAGAAATAAAATCAAATTTATGAAATAGAAAAAAAAAACACATTTTAGCCTGATTATAAATCACTGCACTGCTTTTCATATTTCAGCCATAGCTTTCATAGTGTCACAGTCACTTAAACAGTTATATGTTGCCTATATTAAAAGGATAACTCATCATACTTAAACATTTATTTTTAAATGTGTCATATTCTAAAAGCATATCACTCTTCTACAAAATGTAGACTAATATATGTATTAGTGGTAATTATCTGTATTTTACTTCTGAGTCTAAATTTCACTTTCCATGCATAGTTTTCCTTTCAGGTTATTTCTTTAAAATTTTCCAAAGTGTCCTAACATTCTCCCTCCCTGTTTTCCTTCAGAAGTGTGTTTTTTATATGTCTTTACTCTCATATTCCTTTGTTCACACCATAATTTTTATTATCAAGAATATAAACTGCAGACAAAACATCCCACACAAAATATCTGTTTAAGGGTTAGCTCTACCATGTAATAATCAGTAACTTCCAAATTGTTGTATTAATTGCAGAACTGGAAGTCAACTTCAAATTCTGAAGTGTGAAGTAAAGTTAACAAGCAATAAAGTGTGTAAATTATGATCAAAAGAATTCTACAAATTAGCATAAACAAGACTGAGATATGTCTCGGTTTCTGTAGCATAAAGTAACTGGTTTGTTTGAGTATATTTCGGAGTAATTCCTTGCTGTTTTTACTTTCTACCAACTCAAAATTATTGGAAAATATTTGGAGGGGATATGTATGTTACACTGCTCTTGTTTTGCATGCTTTGAAATGTTCAAATTTACATTAAAATTCAGTCACTTCTGTTAATAACTCTCATTACCCCAAATTGTAACTTATCCTATTAAGTTGGCTTTTTGGGGCCTCCACTCTCATGATGAAGTGATTATTCAAAAATACCAACTTTAAGATTAAAAAAAAGAAGTTGCATACCGTTTTCATTAAGAAGCAAAGTTCTATGTACAATAATTCAGGAAACAAAATACAATGTTAGTGTTTACATTATTTGCCACAAAATAGTAAACCTTATTTCTTATCATGATTTTAAGACCCATGCTGGCAATTTTAGCTTATTTGCCTAGGAGGAAGCTTTGTGTTTGGCTTTGGGTTTGTTTCTATATGAGCAGATTGGTGACCACTATGTGAACACACATTATGTCCACATATTTATTGTATATGACTTTGTCTCTAAAACTGATTCTTCTTGGGAATTCTAATCTGCACAAATTGACTTAGCTTTTTTCCAAAACATTTCAGAAGTTTGCCTGTAATGTACTCAAATTCTTTTATGCAAGTTCATAATAATGAAGATAGATAAAATCTCTCGAAATTATTCCCTGTGTGCTACTTTTGCCTTTACTTCTGCATTTTCTCCACCCCCAAGGAGGGTGCCAGAGGCTTAGACCACCATGTTATAAGGAGGGACCCAAACCAACATCCACCTCCATGGTACCACATAAAAGAGACACTCCTTCTAGTCCCACAAACACTGGGGAATTCTTTTTTACAGAGAATGAGCTCTTGTGACAGGATCTGTATCTGACGTTTTAGCCCAGACAGCTGCAACCACCAGGCTTTTAAAATACAGTAATGTTTGCAGAAGAAATGCTGACTTAACAACTATTAAACAAACACATGTATGCCCTTAATAGCTCTTGCTGCCAGAGTTTGTCAAAACACCAATCTAAATTACTTTTGGCTGCCTCCAGATGGCTTGATCCTGCACACCAGCCTCCCATTCATCTATCTTCTGTAACAGAGATTTGTTTCCACATTCTCAATATGCTGCCTGCAGGACCTAATTAAGCTTTTTGATTTTGCTGTGCCTAAGCATATGACTTCTTGGTGCTTTTCCATTGCTAATTGTTTTGGCAGGGGAAGGGAACATGAAGTGTGGCAACCAAAGACCTCACGTCTGCCACAGGTTCTTGAGTTCTGTGTGTATGTGCAGGGCTGTAATCATCCCATAAGAGATCCCACAAAGGAAAATTGGTTGATAAAATTGGTTGCATTTTTTCCCCACCCTCAGAAATCAGCCAGAGAGAATCAGACCCCAGCTCTTGTTGTTGTCCTTCGTGTCTCAAATGCAGAGAGAGAACACCTCCTGTACTCCCTTGGTAAAGACAGTTCCATTTATCATTCTTTCTTTACAAAGTGCATAGCAAAGAAGAAAAAGCCACTCTCCTGTACTCCTTGTGCAAGGCAGGGGCGTAATTTGATGCTGAAGCCAAAGTAACGTCTTTAATGAAAGTCTCTGATGGTAACATTCAGGAGCAAAAATTCATCAAGCATACAGTCTATTCAGATAAGAGTAACTGAATGCAATATTGTGATTTTGGGCTAAAATACAAAATTGAATTTGATATTTGTGTTGTCTTCCTTTGCCTCTTAGCAATGAAGATAAAATCCTTAGGGAAGGCTGAGATATTTGTTAGTGCAGAATGCTGAGTGACAGCCTGTAAGGGCACAGGATAATCCTCTCCAGAAATGTTATTTCCACACTTTTTTGGGTTTGTGTTCATATTCAACATAAGCAAAATGAGAGGTGTCTGGACTTTCTTTCCTTTTCATGTTATATAGCATTCATGTTCATGTAGGTTTAGTATAAAAAAAGTCATGGAACTGCTCAGAGTGCCTGGAAAACATTAATATCAGAGGCAGGAATTTTGGTAAATATCAACCACAGAAAATGCATCAAATTAGCTTAATGCAGAAAAGTTTGAAAAGCTCAGACTTCAAAAGACAAAGCAAGAGTCTTGATAAAAAAGATATGGATACTGCAAAATGGACACTGCAAAAAGAACAGCTGAGTTCTTCAGCCATCTCATATTTAGTTCATCCTGCTTTGTGCAAAGAATGTATTATATTTTAAAAGCAATATATATCTAAAATACCAATATTTTTTAATTGTCCACATCAGCTCTCCATAGCTGGAAATTTTCTAACAGTAAAGATGCATAATTATCACCTCAACAAAACATTAATCATTCTCTCTAGACAATTTGACTGGTTATCCAGTTATTAACCACCAGCTATTTATTGGCAGCTGATTTATCATAGATATCTGTATTTAAGAGTTTAGCACTTTTAGTTTTAGCTAATACTGCATGCAGATTTGTAACTGGTCATTGGTCTGAGCCTTAAAATTAAAACCTCATTTTGTAAGACACAGCCAATGCAGCATCTTTTAAGGCCTGTAAGAGTATTATATGGTGAATAGAGGCCAAAATTATTTTGTGTGTTGCATAGTAAATCCTTTGAATTCATTATTTTTGGTTTCTAACTATAATTGTATGTAACTTCCATAATAACATGTGGTCAATATAACTTCAACATGCAGAGGCAGAAAATTCCATCATAGCAACTAATAATTTTGAAAAACATGTGAAAATATTTCTCTTCTCTGTCAGACATCATTTACTAATATGTCCCATATTGCTGAATTCAGAAGAGACAGAGAGAGAGAGAAACAACTGATTTGTTTCTCAGTCTCCTGAAAACAGATTCATTTACTGCCAACTGCAGAAAATGGGCTTATTTCTGGATAAGCAGGCAATAGTGCTTCAGTGAGATGGTCTTTGAAAATTACCATCTCTACCAGTGAAAATTTTTTTTCTTTTTTTTTTTTTTTTTTTTTGTTTTTTTTTTTATTTTTTCCCTAAAACAGAAAAAATTTATTGGGAAGGGTCTTTGAAAATTACCATCTCTACCACTGAAAATTATTTTTTCAAATTTTTTGTTGTTTTTTAATTGATTGTTTCCTATAAGCAGCATAATTTTTGGTGGAAAGCCCAGAGGGAAACATAAATGAAAATTAATGTATTGTATATATTCATTTAATGATGAATAGTTCTCTGTCATGGAAGAAAGAAGAGACATACAAATAAAATTAGCACTAGTTAATACATTTTTTTACATTCTTAATGAAAACATTATACTACTAGAGTAATCGTATAAACTACTACTTTCCTCACCAAAGTCCTCTTTCTAGAAAGTATTTGACAGTAGAAAATACTGAAAAGCCATGCTTTTTCCAAACAGTATATTAATCTCAGTAACTGTCATACACAGGTACTTAATTCTGCAAGAGATAGAATCATTTTGGTGCGCTCAGGTTCTTGTAAGAACTTGAAAAGGCTTCTAAAATAGAAAAAGTAAATTTCATTAATTTTCTTCCAGAAAAATAGTTTTAAGATACATCCAATAACTCAAATTTGTCACACACATTTCTTTCTTTTACTCAGTAGCATTTTCTTTCCTGCAAGGCCATTTTGCAGATCTATAGGAAATTCTTTCTTCCCTTGGTTTGAGGGATCCCATTCTGCAGAAATGAGACAGTTTCAATAAAAGCCTAGTTCTTCCAGGGTCTGTTCTGAAAATACTCAGTCCACTTCCAAAATATGCAAGTTTTTTCAATTCACAGTCAGTTTTTGTGGAGGTTTGGTTTGTTGTTGATTTTTCAATGGCCAATAGGTTGTGAGGCACAAAATAAAATGTAGCCATGGAGCTGTAATAATTCCATCACTCTTTCTTCATCCTGGTGATCTGGTAGCACCACTGGAAGGAGCAAACAGTATTCCTAC